TATGACCTGGCAATTCAACTACCAGAGATCTACCCAAAGGACACAAAAACATTGATTCAAAAGACCACCTGTACCCCTATGTTTATTGCAGCACTATTTACAATAGGTAAAACCTGGAAACAACCCAAATGCCCAAAAATAGATGACTGAATCAAGAAGATGTGGTATATATACACAATGGAATATTGTTCAGCAATCAAAAAAGGAACAGCAAAGTTCCATTCACAGCAACATGAATGGAACTAGAAGGAATTATGCTCAGTGAAATAAGCCAGAAGGAAAAAGAAAAATATCGGATGGTCTCACTTATATCAGGAATATAGGAGAACCCAATAAGACATCTGTGTAAAAAAATAATAACAGTACAAAACACAACAAAGCAAAAATAGATAATTATAAGTCAGAGAGGGGAGGAGGAGGGAGAGGGATCAGAGGGAGGGAGGGAGGAGCACAGGGGACTGAGGTGATGGTGCACGGGAGCATTGGTGAAGGAAACTCTATAGGGACTACACCTGAGGGGGTGGGGGGAAGCAAATATTGTTTAAAAATGAATAATGATTTAAAAAATAAAAAAAATTAATGTGAACAAATAAAAAAGAAAAAAAACAGCTCCAATAGGGGAAGGGGAAGGGAAGAGGAAAAGAAACGGGTAAGGGCTTTCCCACAGAAGCTTTGGCGGTGGGTGAGTGAAGCATGTGCACATATGGAGGTGTGAAAATGTACCCCAAAGTTACATAGATAGGTAAATGGCTGATGAATCAATAAAAAAGAAATAAAAAACAACAGAAAACAAAATAGTTCTATGGCGATACGGTTCATCTACCACACAACTCATTTAAAGTGCTATGCAGTTCTGATAAGAGGATAGCATTGGCCAAAAATCCATTCTGTAGGAGCAAGGAATGGTGAACCTTCTAGGAAACCCATTTGTGTTGGGGATGGGTTCTCCTGGGGTACCCCAGGAACCTCATCTGGGAGCCTGAAAGAGGAGTGGGTTTCCTGTCATCTCTATCAGGATAGTAATTGCTGACATTGTTACTCGAACCCCAACACCTGCCACTTTGGAGCAGGGCTCCCACTGGTTCGGTGGAGTCTGGAGGCCTGGCTGCCCTGGGGGTGACCAGCTCCTGGTCAGAGGTTAAGCAGGTGGTATTGTGGTTTGGGTTCGAACAGGTGGTGTGAGGACTGACCCCCACACCAAGTCTTCAGATACACTGCTCTCGATTGCAGGTGCTGGGGCCTGGGATGCCTCACTCCCCGCTGAGGAAAGGCTCTCTCTTCTTCTCCTTGTTCTCTGGGATGCAGGCTGGGGGAGTGGAGACCTCCACTGATTTCCCTTTTGGTGGCCCAAAGGAGAGGTATCTGACTTCTCTCCCTTCATCTGTTTTTATCACTTTCTCCCATTATTTCTCAGGGGACCAAAAGGAAGTGCTGCTATGAACTAAGCTGAATCCTTGAGAGAGACTGGGGGGATTCACTCTCTCTCCTGTGACATCAGCCTGAGCCTCTGGATTGCTGAAGGCAGGTTCACAGAATGGGCTTAAACACCAGCAATGGCCACCTTCCCTATGGTAAAAGGAAGGGACAGCCATTTTGATTTTTTGAAAGGCTTTGAAAGGCTGTCTTGGGAAAAACAGCTTCTCAGACCTTCAGAGTTTTAGACATTCCCACTGGACTGATGATCTGCATGGAACAGAGTCCCAGCAGGGCGCCTTGGCCTTGCACAGCCCTGAGTGCCTTCTCACGAGGTGTGTCCCTGGCTCTCCCCCTGCCCCTTGCTATGGAGTCTCCCCCCTTGTGGAATTAGCCTCCAGGACCCAGGAAGGGGGTCCTCAGCTCTCTGTGAAAGGTGCCCTGCCGCACTTGTTAGTGCTGGTATTTTTTCAGGGACTTTCTTTTATTTATTTATTTATTTATTTATTTATTTATTTATTTATTTATTATTATTTTTTTAAAGATTTATTTATTTATACATACAAGAACTGGGTACAGGCCAGAGGTGTGGGGTGGTGATAGGATTCACCAGAGACAGAGTGGGGAGCAGAACAGGCAGAACTACTGAAACACACTGCTGAGGGGAGCAGAGGGTGAGTCAGGAGAGGTCTGCTGCGCCATGTGGATAGCTCCCTGGCCAGGGATTGAACTCGTGCTGCAGTGACTGTGAATTTCTTCATAGATTGCATCTTAACTCCTTGTGCCATAGGGAGGCCCTCTTCAGGGACTTTCTAGAGGGCAGGACCTAGCAGGATCAGTCATCTCCCCAAGTTTCTAGGAAATGCACGGGGGCCACATACCTCTAAGTAGCGCCAAGCACACGCAGGCCTCTGAGTCTGCGCTGGTTATGGAGCTTTTCTGTGCATGAAACCCATGTTGTCCAGGGCTCTCCTTTTCTCTGTCTGCCACCTTTACAGTTCCTAGTGCTGTCTGGACCGCCTGCTCCCTGGAGGCTGTAAAGCCCAGCCCTGCTTGCCAGGCTCCCTCCTGGCTCTGTCTGGGTTGGCTGGAAGTTCCAGGGAGCCTCAGTCCCAGGCACTGGGCAAGCTCTCCTCCTCCAGGAAGAGGTTAGGGGGTCTTAAAAAACTCACTCTGAGGGAGAGGTGCCGGCAAACCATTCTTCGACAGATCTGCCGACTCTGCTAGCTAGGCAGGGGCTCCCAGAGAACTAAGTTTCTTAGCAGACAGCTTTTTATGTTTATTTTTAAAAAAATTTTCCTTCTCTGCTTTCTGGAATATTTTGCCAATCATCCATTATCTGTCCAGGGGACTAAAACTATCCTGTGGATTCACAAGTATTTGCTGTTTCGTTTTGTCTTATAAAGGACGAGTTTGCCGTGTCCTGCCTAGTCTTCCATGTATCTCACAAACAAGGTAGAATGTAACAGCCAAGGAGGGAAGGAGAATGCAATTCAAAGCAAGCATCTGGCAGGAGTGTGTCAAGTAGTCTCACCCCCTGGGAGGGGAATCCTCAAAGAAAGTAGTGACCACTATGGCTCAGCGGACATAGAATCATGACTATTCAGGGGCAGGAGAGACCTGCCAGTCAGAGTGGCCCATCCTTAGTGACACAGAGCTGTGCATCTAAACGCTTCTTAGCAGGGCAGACCTAAAGGTGAGGTGATGGCAAAACCAAAACCAAGTGACTCAGGAGACTTTTGGAGGGGATGGGCATGTTTATTACTGAGACAGAAGGTTCAGGGACAGAGGCAGAGGGACAGGACTCAGGACAGAACTTTGCTGTTCATATTGTTTTTTTCTGGCTGCTGAACAAGAGGTTAAATACATCTGGCTTTAGGCCCAAACACCTGCTACCATAAATTTCCTTGACTCATAGTCTTTTTTTATAAAAACTAATTCCTTTCCCTCCCCTTACCCCTAGCCTTTGCATTCCTGAGCTACCTCTTTGAACTTATCAGTTTAACCTGTTGAAGAAGAAGCTAGAGCCCTGTATGACCATCAAGCTGCTGCTGAGGGGAATGGACAGCTAGACATTCCTGCTGGCAGCCAGGAATGGACATGCTAGACAGACAAATGGATGTTTCTTCTCAGCCAGTAGAATTTAATTCCTTTGTTCTCAGACCCCAGCCCTAAAACCTGTATAGAACCCTTGGAGGCCCTTTGTTTAAGGAGGTCTCCCTGGGCTTCCACTTCTTGCTCATTTTTCAATAAATCTTTCCATTAACCAGTGTCTGCAGATCCTCATTCTAATTTAAGTTTTGACGTACTTCAGGGCCTGGGCTTCTTTTGGGGATTTGACCTGGACCACCCCCACGTGAAATAGCAGGCTGAGACAGCACAGAAGTTGCCAGAGACCTGGGTGAGACACTCCCTTTCCAGTTATGTAACCTCCATAGGGGGGACCGTATTGTGGGTGCTTGTGTATCTCTAAGCCCATTACATTGTATACATTGCACTGGTGTAGTTTTTGTTTACCAATTGATGCACCTTTATTATTAACCGAAGTCCATAGTTGACAGCTCACTCTCTATGTGGCACATTCCATGGTTTCTAAGAAATGTACAATGACATATCTCCACTACTGTGGTATCGTCAGCACCAAACCACCAACAGAAGCGTTCCCATGATTTTCATCCTCCGTGGCTGCCCAGATTATCACCTTCCTGCTCAGTCCCAGCCTCAAGTGGTTCCTGTCAGTGGGACAGCCAGGAGGCCACAGTTTTCAGGCAAAGCCCAGAGAGCACCAAGGCAATTGGCAGGACCTGCCCCATGGGGTGGGAGGGACCATGGCCAGGGCTTGGCTTCCCTTTGGGGTCAATCCTACCTTTTCCTTGAGGTCCCTATGGGAGGAGGTAGAAGGAAAGGCAAGCAACGTTATTCTATGTGCCAGGAGCCAGGTGTTTCTGTTCTCCCTAAGGTCTTGCTGGATGGCCAAGATGCAGGGGCTTGTGGGCTTGGAGTGCTTGCTCAGAGGAAGGGCTGGAGCACATGTGCCCCTCACCATGTGAAGGATAGAAGAAAAGTGTTTCTGTGGGCCTCTAGAGGACCCCCAGTGGCCAGAGCCCTGGAAGGCTGGCTCTGGGCTCAAGCACATGTGGCTGGGATGAGCGACCACATCCAGGCTGGTGGGTCAGAGCCAAAGCAAAACAAATTTAAAAATTGAACTTCGCTGCTTTCAATTACTTTCTCAGTTGAGCTTTATGGGGAATCTCAGAACTAAACGAGGCAGGGAGGTGACTACACAGGTGAAGGAACAGCTCACGGAGGCCAAGGGCGCGTGCAGGGTCCCCTCCCTCAGCCCCCTGCCACTCAGCAGGGCGAGTCTCAGCCTGGGGCCGCTCACATCCCGCCCCTGTGTGGTGAGACACGCTGTTATTTATTATTTAGGAAAGTGTCTGGGTCTAGTCAACCCCCAGTTCTGGGAGAGCAGCCAGGGAATTCAGGCTGCTCGTTTCCATAGTGGGTAAGGGCGTATGCGGAGGAGGGAATTTTTAAAAGCCACCCAAGAATTGAGGGCATTAGAAGAAAAAGAGCAGAGCCTGATATAAGATCGCGGCATCTATGTCCTGGGGAGGATGGAGTGACTCTGGCTTTTTTCGCCCGCCTGTTGCCAGCCTCTGTGGCGGCACCTGTGGCTCTTGTTTTTCTCCCACACAGGACAATGCGTTGTTGCAGAGGGCGCTTGGGAGCACGAGCACAGGGCACGTACACAGGTAAATGCAGACACCTGGGTCACAGAGCGAGGGATGAAAGGGGCTCCCAGCTCTGGCATTCGTAGCGTCACTCTGAGGTGAGAGATGTGACAGGGAGACAGAGAGACAGCACCAGAGAGGGCGTGGAGATGGCGGGGGCTAGGGTGCTCAGTTGCTGCCAGCCTCCCTGCCTGGTGTGCCTGTGTGCCTCGTGGGGCGGGAGGGACCATGGCCAGGGCTTGGCTTCCCTTTGGGGTCAATCCTACCTTTTCCCGCTTCAGCATTAAAGGCCTGTCAAATCTATTGAGGGCTCCAAAATTCCTTTACCTGTCTGCCCAAATCCACGGTGAACCTGCCTGCCCTGGGCATGCCTGCCCATGCTGTAGGGTAAGTGAAAATTATCAGGATTTTCCGCCCTCCCACCATTGTATTAATGATGGACTCCTGTGTTCTTACACGTGTGCCCCTATGGCGGACACCTGGAGTGGGGTATGGACATGTGTAAATGGGCACACCTGGGCTGAGAGAATGGGCTTATAAGGGCGGTGTCACAGGGACACCAGCAGAACAAGAGCAGAACAGGCAACAGCGGCAGAAGCAGCAGCAGAGAAGAGCCCGGGAGAGAACGCCAGAGAGCCCACAAAGTGAAGATTTGCTGGGGGCAGGGAGGCCTGCCTGCCTGCCAGCCTCCCTTCCCCACGGCTCCCTGCCTGCTGTGTACTTGGTTGCTGCACTACAAATGGTGTAAAAACTTCAATAAAAGCCTGAAAAGCCACCAAGGGCTCCAGGACTCTACCCATCTGTTCAGATCACAGAAAACCTGCTCTGTGCCTCTGTGCTCTCTACCACTACACATACCATCAAAAGTTACTTTTTTTTATATATAAAAAGTATGAGCATGTATTATCCTTTATAACAAAAGGCTTCTCATTTTAGAGAAAAAAAGGACAATAACAGTAAAGTTTTATTTTTTATTTTTTTAAAATAAATTTTATTTTTATATATTCCCCATACAATTGCAACCCTCTTATTTTGACCCCAATCCCTCCCCCCACGCCCCTCACCCCCCATAGAGTGTCTCTGGTTCATAGTTTTTGGTTGATTTTGATTTTCACTTTCTTATAGTTATTCATTTTCCTGGTAACAGTAAAGTTTTAAAAGAAGATAAATTTGGGTTTGATGTTTACAGAAGTTACCTAACCTCTTAACTCAGTTTCTTCATTTGCAGAATGGGCATGCTATTTATTATGCACTCACTTCCAGGGTTGTTTGGAGAATTGAGTGAAGGAGGAGCTGGGGCTGGGGCTCTTTGCAGGCTGAGCAAAGGGCAGCCTGTGCTGCAGTTTAAAGTTTCTCTTGAGCAACAGAGTACTGTCTAGCAATTGCCTCAAGATGAGTCAGAGATGTTTCTTCACTCGAGGTGGAAGGTAAAGCCTGGAGGAACTTATAAAACCCTCCCACCCTCAGTGCCCTGCAGTAGCACTGGCTTAAGGGTATCCTCCACATCCCTGGGTTTTGGTGGTAAGTGTCCTTTCCTCGGCTGGGCCCCCAGGGCATCCTTGGGATGGTGATGGCAGATGGCCACTGGCAGACTGTTGGAAGCCATAGCCCTCCTAGCTGGGGTGCTCTGGGCTGACCGAACTTTGGGCCCAAGGAGACCAGCTTTTGCTGTGCTCACACTTAGGGACAACAAAGGTGGGTGGGTGGGGTAGTGGAGATCTGTAAGGGCGCTAAAGTATCATCACCTGGGGAGAGGGAACAGCCTGGCCAACCACAGCTTGCTTCCCAGGAGTGTTGGCATGAGCAATAGCCTTTGAATTGAACTCCCAGGAGACAGGGGGGCATAAAACCCTGCAGCAACTCAGGCTGATTATTTTAGAAGTTAGATAGTATGATCTATCCTTCTTCCCCATACTATTTACAAATGAAGAAGTCACCACGGGCCAACACAGGGCAGAGCGAACACAGAGCAGACAGAACACAAAGCAGACACAAAGCGAGGGAGTCATCCCTTATCTAAGTTTTTGAAGCACAGAGGAGAGTGGCTGTAGGGGGTGGGGAAGAACAGCCCTAGACCTCCCCTGTCTCTTACAGGTTAAGGCGAGGTTGGGAAGATGACAAAGCTGGAAGACTACCTGGAGGGAATTATCAACATCTACCACCAGTATTCAGTGCGGGTGGGGAATTTTGATACCCTCTCCAAGAGTGAGCTGAAGAGGCTGATCACAAAGGAACTTACAAACACCCTCAAGGTAGGTGCAGTCTCTCATCGCTGGCCCACTCCCCCTGTGATGGCAAGGCTTGAGGATGACAGTGGGACAAGAGCTGGGGTGGGCCGTGGCCCCAGTGCGAGCTCCGGGGAGGTTCTGCTGCTGCTGGCTCCACGGAGGCTCTACTCCTCATCTGTAAAGTGGAGAGGGTGGTGTTGGGTCGGTCAGCAGCAGAGTCTCTTCTGGGTGGGCCCTGACAGTTGCTCCTTTCTGTCTCCTCTTTGGTCATGCTGGCTTCTCCAAAATGGCTTTGGCTGATGAGCGAATGTTCCCAGGCCCTCCCTGAGCAGAGCCGTAAGGGATGAGAGGCCTGGAGAAGGGGAGGAAAGGCTGAGTTCTCTGTCTTTGTTGTCCCCTTCTAGAGTACCAAAGATCAACCTTTCATTGACAAAATATTTAAAGAATTGGATGCGGACGGAGATGGGCAGGTCGATTTTAAGGAATTCGTAAAGCTGGTGACCGAAGTGCTGGTGTCAGCTCATGATGAACTCCACGACAAGGAGGCGCACTGAGGGACTGTCCCACACACTCCCGGCAAGACCTTCCTTCTGCTCCCCAATCCTAGCCCTGCCTCAGGGCAGTGAGAGTTAATAAAAGCTTTTCTGAAAAGTTCTTAACAGTGTCTGTGCACATTTTTTCTTTCCATGCCTGTGTTTCCCCAAACTGAATACACCTCACCCTTGCTATTCTTTTTTTTTCCTTTCTTTTCTTTTTTTAAAGATTTATTTATTTATTTATACAAGCACTGGGTACAGTCAGAAGCTCGGGAGGGTGAGAGAATTCACCAGAGCCAGTGCTAGGAGTAGAACAGGCAGACTGAGGAAGTACACTGCTGAGGGGAGCAGCGGGCAGCAGGAGAGGGATTGAACCAGCGCTGCAGAGGCTGCGGGCAGCTTCGCAACCCAGCACTCAAGCGCTGCACCACTGGTCACCCCTGCTATTCTGACAGCTCCTTTTTAGGCCCTTGAGACCTCGCTATTCAATTGTTCACCAGCTACTTATTAACTATCTACTATTTGTTCATTTATTAATTCAACAAATATTCACTGAGCATCTGTGATAGGGACCCTAAAAGCCCTGTCAACTTAGAATTTATGTTCCATTGGTATATACCATGGAATATTACTCAGCATTCAAAAAAGATAAACACATGCAATTTGCAGCAACATGGATGGCGCTGGAAGGGATCATGCTCAGCGAAATAAGCCAAAAAGAAAAAGAAAAATACCGGATGTTCTCACTCATAGCAGGAATCTAGAAAACTTAAATAAGGGACCAGGAAAATGAATAACTATAAGAAAGTGAAAATCAAAATCAACAAAAAACTATGAACCAGAGACACTTTTTGGGGGGTGAGGGGCTGGAGGGGAGGGATTGGGGTCAGAATGGGGGGGCTGCAATTGTATGGGGAATATAAAAATAAAATTTATTATTTAAAAAAAATAAAATAAAATAATCTCAAAAAAAAAAAAAAAGAATTTATGTTCCATTGGGTGGAGGACAGAAAATAAGTAGGCTGTCAAACAAAAAAAAGATCATACGATACACTGGTAGGTAAAGATAAGTGAAGTGAAGAAAGCTAAAGTAGGGGAGGAGGGCTGGATGTGAGGGGAAGGAGAGGGATGCTGGTTTGGATAGGATGATGGAGGAATGCATTGAGCAGAAACATGAAAGGAAGCAAAAAGAGCAGCCTTGACTTCCTTGTGGAGAGAAACAAAGGCCCTGAGGTGGGGACATGTCTTATCTGCTCTCAGAATAACACAGGGCAAGTGTGGCAGGTGAGATGGGGAGGTTGGGAGGTCTGAGCCTGCAGGCGATGGGCAGGGAGCAGGGGTTTGCAGGCCTGGGGAAGAACTTTGGACTGTATGAAAAGTGTGCTGAGGGGCCTCCCCAGTGGCACAGTGGTTGAGCGCTGGGCTGCGAAGCTGCCCGCAGCCTCTGCAGTCCTGTTCAATTCCCAGCCGCCGGCGAGGGTCCCACATGGCATGCAGACCTCTCCTGCCGCCCGCTGCTCCCCTCAGCAGTGTACTTCGTTAGTCTGCCTGCTCTGCTCCCCGCTCTGGCTCTGGTGAATTCTCTCACCCTCCCGCACTTCTGACTGTACCCAGTGCTTGTATAAATAAATAAAATAAATCTTTAAAAAAAAAAAAAGTGTGTTGAGGAGCCACTGGGGGAGTTTTGAGCAAGGGTATGGGCTGATTTCTTTTATGTTCAGAAGCCTCCTTCTGCCTTAGTGGAGAAGTAATGCCAGGGGGAGGCAAGAAGAGGAGACCAGGAAGGAGGAATTCCCCAGTGTAGGGCTGGTCAATAGAGCATAATGTGGACCACACATGTAGTGTTAAGTATACTTGTGGTCCTCTCTGGACACCAGCAAGTTACCTAATTTTTCTTGTGTTTATTACCCACTCTACCCTCCTGATATGTTCTTGAAAGGGAATTCAAGGAGCAGCCACTGAAGGGTCCTGCAGAGCCCATGGCTGTACCCTGGCTGCTGATTCTATGGGGTCTGAACTGGCTCTGGTTGCTATAATAAAATTTCATAGGTGGGGGGGTGGGAGCTTAAAGAACAGACATTCATTTCTCAGTTCTGGAGGCTGAAGCTGGAGACCAGTGAACCAGCAAGTTGGGTTTTGGGGAGAACAGTCTTTCTGGCAGATAGGGCCTTCTTGCTAGGAGACCTTAATACCCCGCTCACAATAACGAACAGATCAACAAGACAATGTGTAAATAAGGAGCTGGACCAAACAGATCTAATGCACATCTGTGAAACACTTCACCCCCAAACTGTTACATGCATGTTTTTTTTTTTCAACTGCACATCGAACATTTTCAAGATTAGACCGCACGTTCTGTCACAAGTCAACTGTCAATACATTTATGAAGATTGAAATCCCACTAAGCTTTCTTTTGGATCATGATGCCATAAAACTGAAACCAATTTTTTTTTTTAACAAAAACAGGCAGAATTATAAATCAGAGACATCCTGCAGGGGAGGAGGAGGGAGAGGGATCAGAGGGAGGAAGGGAGGAGCACAGGGGACTGAGGTGATGGTGCACGGGTGCATTGGTGAAAGGAATTCTATGGGGACTACACCGGGGGTGGAGGAGAGAAGTAAACATTGTTTAAAAATGAAAAATGATGTAAAAAATATATAAATAAAATATTAAAAAAACTGATACCAATTTTTTTTAAACTGAAAACCTTAAAACACAGAGATTAAACAACATGCACCTCAATAACCACTAGGTCAAGGAGGAAATTAATGCAGAAATTAAAAACTACCTGGAGACTCATGGAAATGAAGACAAAGCTATCATAATTTATGAAATGCAGTAAAAACATTTTAAAGAGAGAATTTAATAGCGACACAGGCCTACATTAAGAAGCAAGAAAGACAACAACCAACCAGCAAGAACAAAACCCAGTGTATTTGCTGTTGTGAAAAATTTACCAGCCATTATTTTGTTTCGAAAAAGCAAAGCAAAAATCGGACTTAAATCATATTAGAAAAATATTAAGGGCTCCCAAACTTGGTCAGAATCCATCAGTCAGAGGCACCTGAGGACAATGAAAGAGCCCTCAACTGGGAACCTGGTTCTCTGGGCTGGGCTCCCAGCTCAACTGGCCCGATTCTGAGTGAGCAAGTGACTTCCCCTTTCTGCATCTCAGCCTTGTCATCTGTAAAGTATTAGGACGAGGTGATCTCTAGGCTCTTCTCAAAAAGACCTGATGACAGCAGATGTCATTAAAAACAAACACACTTTAGAGCCACACGACATCAGCGACTGGACCAATTTCCCAGCGCCAATGCCATCATTCCAAAACATTCTCCAGTTTTCCTCATGAACTTTCAGACTTTGATTTTTACCTCCTGTCCTATTATTCTCTTTATCTGAACCTCTCCTTTCTCTTCACATTTTTGAAATGTTCCAGGCACCAGACTCTTGGGCCCTTCTTTAGGAAAAATTTTTGCTTATCCACTAAGGCCCAACTCAAATGTCACCTCCTCCAAGGAGCTCACCTGCTCACACCCCCCTCACCTATATCCACTTCCCATGCTGGATAGATTTCAGCTTGGAGATTCTGAGGCTTATCTCTCTGTCATACTCTGAGGTTCCTGTTGAAACGATTAGTCCGACAAGGCCCTCTGGGCAAAGGTATGGGTGTGTGACCAGGGACGCCAATGCTACTCTCTTGGGGGTGATGTGTGCCAGACCTTGCCCTGCAGGAGGACATTTCAGTTAGGCTGTGGGCAAGACAGTACAAACCAACTTACACGTGGGGGTTTTGGAAGCCAGAAGATCTGGATCTGATGCTAGGGCAACCAGAAGCACCTGCAAGAACGGCTCTGACTTGTCAATGTAATGTGGCCAATATAAACATCTTCAAAGTTAAAAGAAAGTAAACTGGATGGTACAAAGCTGGAGGGCAAGGCCCTGACTGGCTTTGCTTTCTGATTTCTCTTGCTATCTCAAACAGCACCAGGAAGGCAGAAGTTCCGCTCTCTTGCCCTTTCAAAACTCAACCCAGCATCAATCTCAGGAAGCTTTCCTCATCCCTCCTCCCTGCCCTTGTTCCCCCAGCCCGGAAGTCCACAAAAAGCACCTCTGTGCTTCCAGCACACCTTGTGCTTATCTCCCTGCTTTGCTGTTCTTACACCCGTAACATTATATTGAAATATCTGTTTGGGGCTGGGCTGCTCTCTTCAGACTAAGGGCTCCTGGAGGGCCGGGGACCCAGCACAGTATTTGGCACATGACTTGATAAAGCCCTGCAACAGCCTCTACTGGATCCCTGCTGAGTTACTGGATCCCCACAGAGTCCGAAATCCTCCATTGACCGCCCCATGCCACCCACCTGATCAAGCCTCTGGAGGCTCCCAATGCCTCTGGTCCCTCAGGCCTATTCCTGCTGTGTCCACTTCAGGGAGATCCCGTCTGGCTCCCCAACTGGCAACCATTCCTCCACATCTTCCTTTTCTATTTTTAGCATAACTGATCCCTGTCTGAAATGCTGTTATTTATTCCTCTCATTTCTTGTCTGACTTCGCCCCATGCTCTGTGTCCTGCCTTGACAGCGTGACTGTTAGCTGAAGGGATGAAGCTGGTCAGTGTTGGTGCAGTCACGTGGAAAGGCAGGGAATGAAAATGCAGGTGAGATGGCTGGGGAGGGGGGAGCGCCAGCAGGGGCGCTGAGCCCCATCACAGAGAGCAGGTGCCGAGGCCTTGCTGTGGAGGAAGCTCCTCTTTCCCAGACTCCCCCTTGTGATATTCTCCCATCATTAGGCACCTTGGAAACTGAGCATCCTCTGTTTTGGAGGTGTCATCCTGCTTAGATATGAACCCCATATTTCTTCTTAAGGGGGTCCCCTCCTCCCAGCTACTTGGGACTGAACTTTCCCACTAAGATCAGGAGGGGAAAAGGTACAAGTGCGGAAACCACTCAGAGAGACGTTGTAGCAGAGTAGAGAGAGGAAGAGGAGGGAATTCAGAAGGCGAGGGGAGGCTGGGAGAGGACGGGGATAGACGTGAACCGAGGCTGGGCTGCCCACCCTGTTGTGGCTGCTGGGTGCCACCCTCCTCACCCTGGGTCTTGCTG